AACACTAGATCGATATCCGTACTTTCCTAGTCCCTCGAAACGCTAATGGGCGCTGGTGCCGCAAAGTATGAATGCAGTCTGAGCGCCATCTCGCCGAGAGGGTAGAGAGACTGAAGGGCAAAATGGCTCAGCTTGCTTCTGCTGGTCCCTCCTTCAATCTACCTAGACCCACTTGTCTCTTTTCTGACTTGGCGTTTTCACGAAATTACTCCAGTACGGGTAAATCTAGCGATTTATTAACGACTTTTGGTCATACAACAGAAACAATCACCGAACGATGAATGACACTAACTTTCGACCACATATAAGAAGTTTACAGTACAAGCAATCTGGGTGCTACTACGGTTAATGGAGGCCATGCAGCAGCGCGACGAGTTCCTCTCCACTCGGTTCTCCGAGGACGCGCGCAGGTTCTGATGGCCTGCGTTCTACTGAGCTTGGTTCTGAAAGGAACGGGTTATTTCGTCGCGCTACTGCGCAGCCACATTAACTACAGTAGCGCCACAATCTGTACGAAAACAAAAAAATCCAGAGCATCATTCCTGCGATACGCGACACTCGGGAATCTTTCTCATTCGGTTTTTGTGAGGAGCTCTCACGGGAAAGATTGCCCAGTTCGCGTCTAGAACCATGCCATAATGATTCCCAATAGATATACATTTCTCTAATTCCAAATAATCTTGAAGATTTCATCAAAACTTTAAGCACAACAACAAGGTAAAAGATCGGATGCTAAAGTGGCTGGGAAGGGGGGGGGGAGAGTCTAACAACGACGCGCCCTTTTTTACTCGTTTGCGCCCTCGCGAAGGCCTTTCCTCCTACCTTAGCATGAGAAAATGCGGACGAGCAGAAAAGGGGCGTGGCCTGGCTTCGCTCACGCCCAACGACCCCTCTCCAACCACCTTAGCATATGGGGTTGCAATGAAAACGTGGAGTTTATATCAAGAGCGGTGTCCCTGATTTTGCACAGCTAAGCCTCGCCATATGCTGCGCGCGACTCAACAGCGTGTCAAGCGGTTGACAGAATACCACCGCGCAATTTGGCCGCGTAAGCTGACGCGCGAGAAGTCTGCACAGGGAGCGGCGAATTCGTGCGACATGAAGGGGAACTATTCGCAAGCATTGCCCCTTGAGTTCCTGGCCGATATACCGACTAGAATAGAATACTATAGGGGTCGATGGTCCAGAAGGGTGACTGAAGGCAAAGTTCACGACGACTGTGTGGGCGGAGACAGCCGACCGCGTCCCTTCTCTTGAGCGCCTCATAGGAAGAGTTCCTCAGCCCACACAGTTAGCGTGGCCCGCGCCTTTAGACCCTTAAATTTCAACGTTTTCATTACAAATCACTTTCCATGGAGCGGCGCAGGTGTATTACAGGTTCGTCACCTGTTAAGAGTTAAGACACGTCAAAAAACAGGTTGATGATGTGGAAACCTGTTGTATTGTTGACGACTTCGTATCGAGACACGTCATTAATATGTTGTGTGACGTCAATGACACGTCATTAACCCTGAACAGGCAACGGTCTGTGCACCTGTGCCACAGTAGCGCCACTGAAACCGCGGTTCTGGGATCACAAGCAGGCCACGCCTAAGAATTTTCACGGTTATCTACCTAAGATTCATACAAGAAACGGCATTCGAACGGAACTGTTCTAGGATGCACGAATGAAGAGAATTGCCAGTTGACCTACCAGGAGCCATGATCTTGTAGCATATGAACTGGGTAGGGAAGCGAGCGCTTCGTAACGACCAGAGCCGCGACGCGACGCCTCGCATCAACGATCCGTACATTGAATCAAAAAAAAAGTATTCCAGAGTTATCACACCGGTCAACGTGCACAATAATAAATGTTTTGCATTCTATATACAGTTACGAACCAAATACAGTGAAATGAGCGCAGTCGGCTCGGAGCGGCATTCTGCACTTTCACCTGTTCATGTTAACTAACAGCGTCCACAGTGTGAGACGGGGGGGGGGGGGGGTGACCTGTCAACTTATGAGAAACTGCGAACTTGTGCGAGTGAGCCACTTTTCGTTCAGAAACAGAGTACTATTTGCGGTGCCCCCTCCAATCCGAGCTGCGCACTGAAATGTTGTCACCTTGGAATAAACGTATTACTATTCAACGAATATAGAAAAGTGATAAGTATCAACGATCAGAAGACTAGAGGCTAGTCAACAAATGAATTTTATGGTTCCCATAAATCACTGGTAGATCACAAGATATTGTGGTAAATGCGATGACTATTTTTAAACCTATAATACTCAGAAAACTCCAATGTCATAACCTCTCCGATGATAGCGGTCGACGAAGTCCTGCAGATGCATCACAACACCTGAAATTGTGTGATTAGTAGTTCATTTATAAATATGGAGGACTAACGAGAGCGAGATTAGTTCCTGAATAGTGGGAGATACAATCTTGTTCGCTGTGGATGCTGGGGCGTGTCAGTGGACCGGGTTGGAGTGGCGCCAGCCCATTTTCAACCAATTGAGGAAGTTGGCACGCGACCATAATTAGTGAAAGAACCGGCTGGCGCCGCGCAACCCCCCCCCTGACACGCATCGTAGCGGTCTTGCAGGGAGCCAGACGGTATGGGGATCATAGCGCATCAGAACTAGGCCGTTCATATCGGTGAGTGAGCCTGTTTTTTATGCATGAAAAGCTGGAATTTGTGAGTATTACCAGTGATTATAGAAACGAAGAGACTGCAGAGATAAACAGAAATTGTGGAGACAGATAGCTCTATTTCAACTTATTGTCGTAGACGGACGGCCCAGCGTCTGGCATTCGTCGTCTCGCAGCTACGCCCCTTGTTGCTCTCAGATATGGATGTATGTCTGTTAATATCTTTGAAAATGAAATAGGCTCACCATTTTCCGTAATCGATGATAATGGATGTTTTTGACCAACAACATGTAAGGAATCGTAGCCTTTGGGCATCTCTTCACCCCACGAGCAATTCCACGAATTTATTTTGTGACATTTTCCCAGAGCTACCTGAACGATAAATCTCTTTACCCCCAGAGAAAGCCAGGCCTTAAGCAAAAAAAAATTATGAATTCTTTTGTTTAATTTGGCGAAAGTAAAAAAAAAAAACTCACTCGACATAAAAGCCATGTAGTTGTAACCATACAGCGGATGACGCCAAATAGATGCCCTGAAATTTATATTGAATCATGAGTAACTGTGGGCGCTAACCAGGGCACTTCCTACCATCGGCGAAATATTTTGCAAAATATGACCCTCTAGGAATTTCCCCTTCAGCACTACCCCCTCCCCTTCCTCATTCCTTATTCTACTTACCATCGTCTTCCCTTCACATCCACCACCCACCTTTCCCGAGTTTTCGTCAGGGATTCACCAGGTTCAGGTTCTTCCTCTTCCCGTTTTTCCCAGGAAAGTGCGAGAGCGGGAAGGGAGTGGAAGGGTAATTCGATCAAGTACGACCCCATCAGATGAATAAGAACAAATACGAGCTCCCTCCCTCAAGCGAAACAGACCCTTTTGCTGTACTAAAGACAGTCCTCAAAGGTTCCAAGAAGGCTCTTCGTACGGTAAAACATTGTGATCGTTTTGTTTGGTAAGAACTCACATCTCCAAAGAGTCTACCCGTAATAGAAGTGTTGCGCGGATTCACAAGGAAGCCATCCTTCAGAATACTTATTAAATTCACGGCCTTCGTGCCATGCCAGAGGAACCTGAAATCAGAATTATTTAAAGATACATCAACAATAATCGGATGAGTGGAGAAATGGGCGAGTTCTCATCAGCGCCTCCTCCTTTTCACTGATTCAGAAAAAGGGAAGAGCAAAGAAGAAGGCATAACGGCCTGAGTCTCCGCCCATCCTTCCATCATGGAATGTGTCTCTAGTTAGCAACTTCAAAATTTCTCAAAAATTACAACTGACATCTGATTTTCGTCGTCAGCGAAATCGCCGAAATTCAAAACCGCTTCTCTCGGGGTTATTTCCAGAATACCCTGAAAGAAACATCAGTAGGGAGGGACTCTCCAATAAAGGAAGAAAGCATTAGCATATATTTAGTTACCTTGACTTTCCAACATGCACCGCCGGTCACGTGGATATACCGCAAGATTTTCTGGCTCATATCGGCCGCTGGGACTCATCTCAGTGAACCGACATTCTAGCGCCTGACATTATGTAGCTGCAAAACAGACCCTGATGACATAATCTAAACGACCTGCAACAATAAATGGGCTTCTACCTGATTCTGTCGACATCTTTACGATGGGCGGCCGCAGTTAAGAAGACGTGTCGCTACCTCTACCTCTGTCATACGATTCAGGATCTCGCGAGCGCGATTTATATCGTCCTTCTGTAAGCACCTGAGGTATTAGGGTATCTACTGGAGGAGAATGGATGGAGATAATGAAAAAAAATTCAAAAATGAGGAGGCAATAGAGCAAGGGTGGTGGCAGCAAGACCACGCTACGTCATGTCTGCTTTTATGCGCCCTCTAAGCGAGATGGTGCCGAATGTGTCTGACTGTTTTGCTGA